GGTCGCTTCGTTTGATTTGATCTTGAAGGCAAACAGGGAACAAGACACAAACATGAAACATCTCAGATCAGCAGAGCCATTAGCAGATAAGAAACTGAAACACTCTAATTTGTGTAATGGAGGTTTCCACGTCGAATATACCTAGTTCCCCAGATCTTGAACAAGTCTAGTTGAAATAAACAATAGTATGAATATTGTACATTAATACTAATCGAAGCATGCTATCAACAGTTGTCACATTTTCTAATCTAGGGAAAGACGCACATTGAACCAAAAAACTTGAAGGATTTTATATTTTTTATATGTGTATTATTATTTTTATGTAATAGACCAAGTGATACTGAATTAGTTGTTTGGTTTGTTAAGGGTTCAATAAGTATTTTCAAACGTAGAATTATCTTATATGTCAAGTCATCCGTAGACGTTTTAAGTGGCAAGAAAATTTGGATTTCTATAACTCCTAGAATTAGTCTGGTTTCGGTCTTGGATGACTCTTTTTATAAAACAAAATGTAATGTTAAAATGTATAAATCATGATTTCGACGAGCTTGAATAACATTGTCCAGTCGAAAATAATAGCTGGAGTCTGGAGATCCATGTCGTATGTGTATAATGGCTTACAGTTATAATGAAATGAAAATATTATTATTGGGTTCATATAGAATATTATAAAATTGGACCAATCTACAACGAACTTGTCCTCATTAATAAGCCATTAAATATGTCGTGGGTGCTAAAAGAACGCGTGAGCGATGTGAAAAAGTAAGAAACACAACACAAGCTGTAATATTGAGCGATCAAAAGATTCGTCTTGATATTACAGAGTGGTTGCAGAACACATCGTCATGTGATCTGGATTCATATGAGTCATGTGATGTGACCTATCTACCAAATATCATAATTTAATTAAAAACAATAATTGGATACTCCAAGTACCAGCTAATTTGTTATTAATTTAACGAGTTCACGGATCATGGATGATGGACCAAGTATAAGCTATAACGATGGAG